TTTGTGCCTATCATTTGCATCCTTCAGGGATCCTTATCACTGCTTCCATGATGCTTAGCATATTTCATGATATCAGTCCTGAGTTAGACACTGCCTCGAAATGTTTAGTAAATAAATAAAGGTTTAAACACTTAGCTCTATAATTCCTAATAATTGAAACTAAAAATGAACAATTTGACTGTGCCCGAGTGGCTTGCATGCATATATATATATATATATGGACTGAGTGTGGATCGGGTTGCACGCCGCAGCGAATGCTACGATGATATTGTGCTTGGGCTGTAGGAGCCCCTCCGGAGTCTGAACGCCCACAGTGAGCGCGGGTACCCAAATGGATCGGGCTGCGTGCCGCAGCGGTCATGTGCATTGCATTGCATTCATGCATTTATACCTATTTGTCTTACTTGTCCTGGTATTGTCGTTGTTCCACCGTTTTATGTGCTGAATCGCTGATTATAGCTTTATATTGTAATATTTCGGAATTTCTTACTTTCAGACATTATATATGTTTATTACTCACTGAGTTGGAAGTACTCACTTTACTCCCTGCACCTCGCGTGCAGTTGCAGGTATCGTTCACCCGGTAGCGGGTTATTAGCGGATTGAAGGTATTGTTATTGTAGCTGAGCAAGGTGACCGCCAGCGTTCGCGGCACCGGATGTTGTCTTTTGTTTTCCAGACATTTAACTTGTATATATTTATTGGCCTGTAGTTGTGTTAAGGTTTCCTTAGATGCTCGTGACTTGTGACACCCCGGTCGGGTAGTAGTTAACAATTTCTAATGCCATTAAGTTGTATCTTCTATTCATTTATGTTTAATAATTGTTAGTGAAAGGATTTGGGTTAGTTGGCTGGCCTTGTCTTCAGGAGAGGCGCCATCACGACCGGGTATGGGAATTGGGTCGTGACACCCCTCCTCCTTTTCTTCTTCTTCTTCTTTTTCTTTTTCTTTCACCGTTTCAGTGTCCAAATAGCAGCGAAATGCTGGCGAAATTTTTTTTCCCCTTCAGTTCTTCTTTTTCTTATTCTCCTCTTCTTCTTCTTCATTTTCTTCACTGTTTCAGTGATAAATTGCAGCGAAATGCTGCCCATTTTTCGTTTCAGTTGGAGGGATGTATTAGAGCATACTGGCCAGGAAACTTTGTATAAATTAGTTGGCCTCTTGAGAAGCAGTTCGGGTTGCCCTTAACCTTTCAAACTTTTAAATTTAGGAAGCATGAGAAGTTTCTTTTAGGTGTAACAGAAACTTGCCCTTATCTATCTGATCTCGATTGCAATTTGGACTTAAAATTTCCTAGTTTATTACTGCTGCACAGCAAAAGTCAGTGGCTTGAATTGTTTGCTTTTCTTCCTATTTGGTCCTTGATGAAAGCGGCTTCTTGTGGATTGCACTTAAGAATTGTTTGATTGCCTGCATTATTGCACAATCTGCATGCTATGCCATTCTGAGATTTTGCTTGCTATGCTATTCTGAATAGGTGCGATATAACAGTGCTTATATGTTTGCAAAGTCATAAGTAATTTTGAATATGAGATGGGAACTTTGATAGTATGTCAATTGCTCAAGTTATTTGGGCTAAAGTAATTTAATTTTTTTGATAGTAATACTCTAATCAATTATAGCTTTTGTTAGGCTAAAGTAATTTAAATTTTTTTGTATGTAGGATGAATCAAGCGGCAGCTCTTAAGAGAAAAGTTCCGAATCCAAACAAAGCTCAAAGTCCAATGAAGAATATAGGTTTCGATTTCCAATACCGATCAAGTGCTGAACTAGCCAAAAAATTTCAGATTAAGAGAGAAAAGCTTGCAAGTGATCGCAACGATAAAGCTGCTAAAGAGTATGCATTACTTGGAGTTAAAAGGAAGAATTGTATGCCTGCAACATTAGAAGGACAAAGTAGACAAAAGTTAACTCAATCCGATGTGTCAGTTCAAAAGTTAGGAAGGAATACATTACCGGTGTACAAATCAATCCAATCATCTTCAAGGAAAGATATGAACACTTCACATAGTATTCCAAGTAAAGGACAAATTAAACAAAGGTCAGTTCAATTGGAGGAGCCCATTCAAAAGCAAGGAACGAGTAAATTACCTATGCCCACATCCATGATCCAATCATCTGCAAAGGTAGATCCTAACACTTTACATATGCTTACAAGATCACAAGGTGAAGGAGAGAAACAACGTGATATTCAGGAGCTACAAAATTGCAAAGTGGTAAAGACAAACTCAGTCCTACCGTCGACGAGTGTTAATCAGTTTCTAAAAAAATATGGGATACAATTCGGTGGTGAAAAACATCCTGATAATCACCTAGAAAATGAAGTCAGATTTATGTCCTCTCCTATTATTGATGAGCGTGAAATAGAATTGGATAATTTTGCTGCGCAAGATGAAGTTGGTGACGATGAATTTATTGGAGATGAGGAGATGAACATCGATGGTGCTGTAGGTGGTATGTCTTAAACCTTATAATTATTCTACATATTTTGATTTTTTTCTTCTTATGTCTTGCTTGTTATATCAATCTAGGGACATCAGAGAAGAAAAGAGTTCGAGGGAAAACAACATGTAAGAATATTCATGCAAGAAGTTTTGAAGAAAGAGAGGAGGTGACATTTGATAAAGGACAAGCAGTTGGACCAACTGACAAGAGAGTGTCTGATTTGACCAACTTTTTAGGAACGATTGCAAGGAATCCAAGATTTATCCCCTTGGTACATACTAGTTGGCATGCCGTGTCAAAGGATATTAAGCAACGGATGTGGGAATATGTCAATGTAAGTATAATTAATGTTTCAATTATATATTTTTTGTATTTTTCCTACTAATGTTGTGTCAAAGGATATTATGTTTGTGTGTTTTTTGCAGTCCAAGTTCTTAATTCCAGCTGAAGGAGAGAAGTGGGTAATGACTGGTCTTCGTGATGCTTGGAAGCGACACAAGAGAAATATTAAGATGAAATATTTTGATAAAAATGCTACTATTGACGAAATGCTACAAAATCGTCCCAATGAGATACCTGAAGTTCAATTTCGTCAATTGATTGAGTATTAGGATGACGAAGGTGTCCAAGTAAGACTAAACCGTGCATTTCTACATTTTCTACCTATTGTTGAAGTATGCTACAAATGACATTTCTACATTTCTATTGTTAGCAACAGGTATATTGTTTCCTTTTTGGTTTATTAATTAATATGTTTCTTTTGTTGTTAGGCTATGTGCCAATTAAATTCTGAAAATAGGCAAAAAGAAAAGTGGAGGCATCAAATGGGACCTATTAATTTTGCAAGAGTGCGTGTGGCATTGGTAATATTTAGTCGACACTTTGTAATCTGACTTTCATTTCTTTTTGTACTTTGTCGGAACACAGCGATGTTTTTTTATAACTTCTTTGATGTAATTTGTAGCGCGCAACCAAAGAGAACAACGAGGAACCATCAAAGTCTGAAATGTTTATTACAACTCGTACAAAGAAAGGGAAGGAAGTTCATATGGATACTCTAGTTGCAATAGTAAGTTATCCTATTGTTATGAACCAAAGAGTTTATTCTGTATCCTTTGATTTCCTTGCTATTCCATTGTCCTTAGATTTAACATCCTTTTGTTCCAGTAACTTATCCAGCAGTTTCCCCGTTACTGCTGAAATTTTCAGCTTGCCCAATCTAACAGTAGGTCAATCACCATTCACCTCTTGTTTTCAAGTACATTGTGTTGGTGGGCGCGATGATAAATCATTTGATCCTACTTGGTGAATGGTGGAGACTTCTGACACCAATATTTCTGGTACAAGATTGAAAATTGGTTCGTCCTTAAATGATTGAATTGCCCTAGAATTGGATTAAACAACAACAAACCCATACGCATACCATGCCTCTACCTAGTGCCCTAGAATTGTATAGAAATACAATAAGATTGTAGCATGGTATATGATTATGTGATTTATGATAGTCAGATGCAAAGTACCAACAACTAAGTAGAAAGTTAAATTCTCTTTCTTTGAATGAATTAATATTGCATAAATCAGCTTTTCCTGATGAAACCTAAAGAGGACTAGAGTATTCAAGAGTTCAACTTCTTACCTTATATTATGTCATTTATACAAGTACTATTCTATAGCATGTTAAAGTAGGCTGAAAATTCATTAGAGTTGTTGTTGAATATAACTTAAATCCACTTAATTTGATTGTTGATCTGCTATATTGCAGCACTCAGGAGTCCTTCACATAGCCCTAGATTGTTGATCTTCTCTATGCTAGCTTAGTAAGAAATCCCTGGTTGACTTAGGCATAGTTCTGTTAACCCCAAAATGTTGAATAAGAAGCTCCAGATCTGGGCGGTGAAGCTGCAGAAGGAAAAGGTGGTTGCATATTAGTTTTGCTCCTCACTGAGGGCACACCTGTTACATATACTAAGACCTTCACTTTGAAGGTTCTTATATGTTAAGCTCGCTTCTTTGGCCAACGGCCAAATGAAGCACTCTACCTTCGGAGGGGCTTTGTTTTTCCAGATGCACTGCAATTGCCAATTAGTATTGAGTGAACTTGAGCTGCTGGGTATGTTAGCCTAATTTTACAGAGAATATCTTTTCGAAGTGACTCTCCTGATCAGTGAATCAGGATTAGGTTGAGGAGGTGGAAGGATGCTCAGCTGAAGAAGCAGTGAACAAAAGCTGTCCATTTCCCAATTATTGGTGTTTTCTTAAGAATGATGTCCCAACTCTGCTCTGTGTTGTTGTCCGAGTCTCCGAGATAGAAGCTTCAGTATTTTCTACAAGTCTAAAGAGGGTTGGATGCTGGTCTCTTAAAGGGGAGTGACACAGCCGTGCATCTTGCCAACATTTTACTTTCCTGCCATCCTGGATCTGAAATAAAATGTTGGCTATAAATGGTGGTTCACAAAGTGATATATTAAGGCAAAAGCTGGTTCACAGTAGGTCGATCAATATCTGGTTCAAGGTATAAATAGGATTAAACAGGATTAATCAGATTAACAGGAAATTTCATAGGTGGTATATCTGGTTCAACTGAACTTTTCCTACCGCCTTTGCGTTAGATGAGACCTCTTCATTCATATTAAGTTGTCAAATACCTAAGTGGTCTTATAGTGCATTATCTGAAGCAAAGGAAACATTTTGCAGGCTATCGCTATTTGGTACTTTTATTTAATCTGACTTGACTTGCTAAAACTTATTTTAGTGTTCGATCTATCTTGACTTGTAAGTGATGTGTAATAATATTTTTTTGACAGTCTGAACTTCAGAATCGCCAAAGTTCTGGAGAAACAGCAGATGATGCATTTACGACTGTATTTGGAAAGGAGCAGCCTGGTCGGGTTAGATGCTATGGTAGATCGGTGACGACAAGCTCTCTAAAAAAAGATGAAGAAATCACCAAGCTTAAACAAAAGCATGCCAATGAAATAACTTCTCTGAAGGAAGAAATGAAGGAAATGATGAGGGAAGAAATGCGATGTTATTTTAGTTAATTGGTGGAAAACAACCCTGGACTAGATTTTCATGATATACAAGGGTGTGTTGCATCTAATATTCCTTCACCGGTTGATGCAAGTAGTGCACGAGCTATGAGAGGCAAAAATCTACAACATTCTGTGAGCACGTGATTTTTGCCCTATATGAATTATTCCCAAAATTCAAACAAAATGATTTTTCTTTCATTATTTTGCACTTTTGTTAATTTTGTGTTGAAATTGTCACGAAATAGATTTTAAACAATTTTAGGAATTAATTAGCTTAATTTTGGAAATAAATTAGGTTTCATTTTAATTTTTTTTTGCATTTTAATAAAATCAGGAAAAATACAAAATAAAATACAAAATAAATAAAAGAAATAAAAAGGGAGAAAATGAAAGAAATTAAATTAAAAAAAAAAAAAAGAGATGTCTTAATAAGAGGACCGAACTGGGCCATTTTAATTGATAAATTTTAGCTCAATCCGTCCCTACCCAACCCCGTTTGACCCAGGCCCAAACGCCCCATGCCCGGCCTGCCCCAATGGACTCAAAACAACGCCGTTTTGGCGTCAAGCAATCCCAGCCGTCGAGGTTGATCAAATCAACGGCTCAGAACGGGTTAGTCACTAATATTTAACTGTCCTAATCGACCCCCCATACCCCCGTCTCGTCTCCCTCACTCACCCCTCATCAGAAACCCTAACGACGCCCCCTCATTTCCCACCACCGTTAATGGCGGCGCCAGCGTCCAAACCCCACCCCATGAACACCATAGACTCACCTCAACCCCCTTCATCCCAAATACCCAAGCCAATTTCCTTCAAACACTGACCGAACTCCTCGAATCTTAAGTCGAAGTTTTCCGGCCAAAAACTCAACTTTCTCCGTTCACCATCAAATTAACACCGTAGAACCTCCGTGACCTCCTCTATCAAACCCCCCAAGCCCCGTCCCTCGAACATGGCCGGAACTGCTAGAATATTGAATTGAAATTTTTCGGCCAAAACCCTAATTGCTCCAAACTACTCCAAATTGATACCGCATGGTCCCCTGGCTTCCCTCGTGATGAATTCAATATCAATTGTGCTCAAATCCCACTGGAGACTGTCCAATTTTTTTTTTGAATCTGAAAATAAGGAGTGAGTTCTTTGTTTCTTTTTTCTTTGTTTAGTTTCCTTTTCTTCTTGTTTAAACCCCTTCTGTTGTTTCTGTTCTCATGTTTGTTAATTTCTAGTTAATTTTCATTTTTAGCTTTGTTAATTTTGTTCTGGTTCCGTGTCATGACTTGACTATTTGATTCTGGTC